CCAAATTTTGTGCACAGTTTTAATATACGAAAGCGGGGATATTATACCTATTTATATTATAAATATTATTTCCTTTTTGAAAATTGATTTCAATGAAATATTAAATATTATTGATTGACAATTCATTATCTCACAAACCAGACGAATTATTAAAAAATGGGTTTCGGATTTGAAAAGAGCAAATTATTGCTATTTACCTGAATATGTGACAATATCATTTATATTTATATGTATAACTGTTATAAAGTCCTGCAGTCGTTCACACATGTGAAGTGTTGTTGAAATGCTGTAATTTGATTTACTTTAAAACCAATTTGTTGCCAAACTAACGCAATGAAGCTATTGATCTCTTATACTGTTGTATCTAAAGTAAAACAGATAATTCAAACACTAATTTAAGTCATAGTAGAATGGGAATTGGCAATTCAGTTCACTTTTTTTATAATTGAGCTCATGATATAAAACGAAATCTATAATGACTGCTAAAGTTTTACTAACACAAAATTTTCAATTAATTTATTACTTGAGCTAATAAGAAGCTACAAATGCGAATTGTAAAAATGATTTACTAATGAAATTAATTATTTAATTTACGTATTAATGTTAAAAAAATATTCCCTTGAATATAACAAAAACAGTTCATCCTATTCAATAAATACTTTTGAAAATAATGTAAAGACATAAATGTTAAAATAAATTAAATTCTTGATGAAAAGAGTTAAGATAAGCCGTAGAATATTTTTACCACATTTATAACGTATATAATATTGTAAAATTATTACTTAATCTTAAAGCATTTTAAGGTGAGAGACCTGAAGAAATATATTTTTGTTCTTTTTAACTACATCTATTCAAAATAACATTAATTTTTTACTATGTCCATTTGTATTTTTACTTGAATGAAATTGTCTATCGCAAGACATTCGAAATCAACAAAGCCGTCTTTTCAATTCATTTATCAAAACAACTTAATCATAAATCATATAATTTTGATAGGCCATTGAAATCTGACGGGCATATTTTTTGAAAGCAATACAATGAAAAATTTAAAGACTTTTGCTCTCAAGAAAAAACAAAAACCTAAGCTCAAAGTAAAGTCAATTATTTTATTTTGAATTTTTTCTTTTTTATGCAAATTCACAACACTTTATCGTATTGTTAAAATTTTCTTAATGTTATTACAACTTAATAACAGTTTAAACTCCATTTTTTTCTCCTTTCAGTGTATAAGTATAAGGTGTTGATTTCATCCTTAGCGCCTTAATATTTCATAAATCAAATTTTTTTTTTGAAACTTCACATAATATTATTTAAATTCTATACTAATCAGGGATTAAGGAGATTTTCAAGGGTGTAAATACGTGTAAATATGTGCATGTTACGAGTATATACCTTATAACTTATATTTTATGTGAAAATAACTTTGAAAATATTTTGAAAAGAAAAGAATAAAATTCAATAAAAATTTTCAAAAATATTTTTCTATATTACAGTTATATGTAAATATACTGTTATATTACATTTTTTTATACGATATATTACACAATAGAAAGTGTCATTAAAAAAAATATCGCCGTATATTATAATATAATATAACATTCAAATTCAATATCAAGGACATTTAAATGTCCTTCTTTGAAAACTGGAAAATAAGAATAAAAGAATTATAATAGAATGAAATTTATTATACAAAAACGCTATGGTTATAATTAGGAGTCCTTTGAATTCTATATTCATTATAATATGTGTCGATATTGTTCCCTATTAAACCACACATATTTATACAATGTATATCTGTGTATATAGAACATATTGCTATAAAATGAATATAGGTTATCACATATTATAAACGTGGATTATTGGAATGTTCATAATAAAGGATAGTAAAGTGATACATTTTTTTTCTTTTTTATTGTTATATTATTACATTCCTCAAAGGATATTGAATTCCACGAATTTTTAGAATATTAATAGAGCTACTAGTATATACTATACAACATAAAAATGCGATAAATGTACATACCGTATGTATATATAAGTAGCATTATAATATAGATTTTCTTATTATTGAATTTTATTTAATATATTAAATCTTGGAAAAAAAAAATGTTTATATACGAAACGTTAAAGAAAGATTTCAATATACTTTCAAACTGATTTCATTAAGTTTATTATCATTTCTTTTACTGTTATTCGTTTCTTATTTCCTTTAGAAATTCTAGTCCTTTAATATTTTTCATATGTAAGTTTGTATTGTTTCACGGGAATTATTTAACGTTTAAACATTTCTTCTTTTTTATAGTTTCTTCTTATTTAACTTAAAATCTTGATAAAATTTTATTGTTACATAATAACAATAAAAGATTCAAGCTTGTTATATATACTTTTATTTATGCTTGTACGGGAGAAAGATTTAATTAACATAAAAAGAAAGGAAAATCAGTGACATTGAAAATAAATAGAATTGATTTATTGAATCCGTGAATTCAAGCAAGATCGATTTTTACACTATGATAAACATTAAAGTATCTTTAAAAGTTTGAAAAATGCTATTTATTAAAACTATTTAATGAATAAATAAGTAAAAATTTTAAAATATTCTCTTAAAAGCAAAAGAAAGTCTTTAGGATTAAATTAATTTTGATTAAAATTATCACAATCCTATTATTAAATTTTGTATATAATGTAACAGAGTTTATGAATTTTTAAAATTTTCTGAACACAAATTTAAACAATTATGGATTTAAAATGAACCTGACCATTGGTGCAGTGGTTATGGCACCGGCCCTTTAACCGAAAAGTCTCGGGTTCAAACCCCGGTCAGGTCACTATAAAAATTATATTCAATATTATATAACTTAATATGCAATACTAATAAATATTATACAAGTAATTTTCAAATATTCATAATCACCTACCTAGCTAAACTCTCTATGACTATAGAAACTAGGGCATGATAGATATCATACACTAGCCTCCTAGGAGTAAAGACGGAAAACAAAAAATGGATTTAAAATGAATTCCTAATTTTTAAACTTTTGAAAGACATTACACTGAAATTGATTATAATATTGAAATGGGAAATAAAATTATTATAACAAATACTTGTTTAAATTGTAAAAGCATATGAAAAGTCTTGAATTAATTTTCGGTAGGTTTACTTCAGATTGCTTCATTAGGCTATTGATTTAATTAGAGAAACATTCACCATATAATTATCGAAGCTTTAATGAACATAACAAGTAAGATGCGAGAAAATATTATAATGATCCAAATAAGATTAATATTTTTTAATAAAACCGCATTTGAATCTCAGTCTTGTTTAATTCCAAACTAAATCAATAATTCATCATCCAATAATAATTAAAATATCATTTAATTCTTCAAAATAAAAATTTAATCTATAGTTATTAAAAATTCAATCATTTATAATAATATATTTTAAATATTTATTACATCTTGACCCCAGTTGTATCATAAACCTTGAATTTTCAATATTTTTAATCAAAAAATTTTTCAAATTATTAAAGGATTTATTAAAAAAATAATTTTGTATTTTCGAAAATCACAAATTTATTAAAGTAAAAAACACAGTCAAGGTCAATACCATATAATAATTTCATTAATGATATGTCATTAACGTCAAAATATACATATTTCTTTTTTTTTTCTAAATTCATTTTCAATTGATATAAATCACACCGTTAAATGCAGAGTCTGGAATTTTTATAAAAGAAAAATGATTTTCTTAATAGAAAATTATTGTTAATCATCATCCTGGCGCGTTAAAATTTAACTACCAACTACGCATTATTTGATCCTTATTCAAAGGTTTTTTTTTTTTTAAAAATTTCAATAAAATTTAAAATAATCTCAAATTTAATGTTTCTACTTTTAGGATAGTAAGTAATATCATTAACCATTAAAATTTATTTTATCACTTTATTAATTAATATTGTAATATTTATTACCATTTCGAATATTTTCGAAAAATTTGTAGGTGTTGAACACGAAAAATCTTTAAAAATTTTTTTATATTATTCAGAAATAATTGTAAATGTTTTTAAATCTCTTAACCTTGTTTAAGATAACTGACTTCATAATTTATAATATTTATAGCTTTCAGTAAAACATTAAGGCTTGAGTAAAGTTCCTTTTAATTTAATTTATATTACCTTAGAGTATAAAAAACAAAATATACGACCAATGCCCGGTATATAAAAGTAATTACTTTTAGCAATTTAAGCACATTTTAATAAACCTCTTTACAAATCTGTTGAATTTTTAGAAATATTTTCACCACTCTAGCCAAAAACACTTGGATTTTTAAAAGATAATTTCATGAATAATAATTTAAAGTAATGTTACAATCAGTTTGAAAGGAAAGCTTCTTATGTTCCTGATGCGGATATTGAAAGAAGTACCAAATAATGGTGTCATTTGAATCTATTTTTAATATTTTACATTGTACTATAAAATATTTATAATTGGTACTTGTGAATTAACAAGTTCAATGATTTATTACTTTAACAACCATGCCATTATTGCATTGTTAATCATATATCATTTTTCAAAAAAAATCTTTCAAATTCATTTTATGAATGTGTGAATTTGAAATCAATCAATTTTTAAATAAAAAATGTAATTACCTTTTCAACAAAAAAGAATACATTTCTAACATAATAAATTTCAAACACGCTATCACAACATAACAAAATTTTCCAAATAAATTCTTATGATTGCCACAATAAAATAACAGAGAATAAATTTACACGATACCTAAAATTATGCAATCACTTTTAATAATTGTTTTTAAAATATATATTTTTTTGTCTTTATTTTAACTCATGTTTCAAAATAAAGAATAAAAGTGATTTGTTTTTAAAAATAAATCAATAAAATTCAATTTCACAAGTCTTCGAAACAAAAAGACACTTCTTTTGTTTTCTTTGCTTAAAGCAAACATATGTACATAATATTATTTTGTTAGATATACTTACATGCAAATGTCTCATTAATCATGCAAAAACATGGAAACTTAGTCCTTGTATTCCTGTAAAATAAAAAAGAGAAAGAAAAATTAAACAAAAAACAAAAATAGCTAGATGTACTTTAAAAATATTGCTTCGAGTAAATTTTATAAAATGCTATACAAAAGCAATTTATTCAAATTATTTTTAGGAATTTCAAAATTGTTTCTTCTTTTTTTTTCAAAGCCAGCTTTGAGCTAAGAACAAAATTCTTTTTGTTTTCTCCATATGCAAAATACATACATACATATTATGTATTATTGAAAATGAGTTAAAAATTTGTTGTTTTACCCATGTGTGATTATTAAATTTAATCATAAATTTTAAATTTCGAAATTTACAAAAAATATTATAAATTAAAGACAATTAAATAGAACAGGATGATTGAACAGGAGGTACCATTTTATACATACAGAAGCAATAAAAAATGTTTATTGCTTATACCGAACAAAAAGAACAGAACTACGAGTACTATTAAGGAATTTTTAAATAAAATGTTTTAGAAAATGAAAACTACTTCAGAAATATTTTTAAGAAAAAGAAAGTATCCTTTAGTTAATGGAGAGTGTACATATTAAAATTCATATTAAAAATATTTTTGATCTTTTAATAAATTTCTCAAAAGTCGTGCAAATGCTGAAGGCATAAAAATAACGCTATAAGCGTTCTTTAATATATCAATTTATTTTTAAAAATAATGCATTTTCTTTGACAACATTACAAAATAATTTTTGGTATTATTTCGTATATTGCACGTAACCGTATACGGAACCTTGGCTCTACCTACATACATATACGAGTAATAGATATATTCGATTTTGCAAAGCCTCACAACAAATTGAATTAAATAAATTACCATTGATTTATCTAAAATGCAAAAGATCATTGAAGGCTGAAAAAATTTATTCTGCTATTGCAAAAAACCTGAGGGTAACAAACAAAAGATACATTACTCGTTCTTAATACTTTTATAAATGTCTTCTGAGATTATCTGTAACGAATATGCTGCCAGTGAATATTTTAAAATTTAAGAAAAAAGAAAGAATTTGGTAAAAAGATGTTTGAATTTTTTTTAACATTTGAAAAATCAATTTTATTTTAAAAATTCTGAAATACAATGACATTTGCCTTAAAGGTGAAAGTTATATTCTGTGTACATTCAGTTTTCTAAAATTTCAATTGTAATATGAACAGTCTAAAATTTTCTTAAATTTAAATTATCTAGGATCAAAATGGGACAATATAAATTTAATTTACAAAATATTAAAAATATGTGTAAAAATTCTAAAATTGCCATTATTCATTGAAATTACAAGAATAATAAATAAAAAAATTTTTATAAAACAGTCACAGTTTGCATAATGTCATAAAACTTTATGATCCCTTGAAGTGTTAACTTTACGAGCACACAATTAAATTAAAAACAAAACATTTTATAATTACAATCTATAAAAATTACTTTCATTATAATTTAAATTATAATTGTGGTTACAATGTCTGAAACTAACTCCTTTGCATTCATAAAAAATTTCTCATATAAATAAAGAAAAAACAAAAAAAATAAACAAAAAAAAACAACCCTTTCATTATCCTCTTATTGTTTTTATGACAATTTTCTTTATAATTTCATTAAAATTAAGTCATTAACATGCACCCACAAAAGCAAAACAGATGCAATAAAAAAATTTGGCTTTAGTACAAAAACCTAAAATAAAAATCCGGTGCTGAAAGGTCTTGAAAGAAGTATATTTCATTTCAATTTCTTAAAAAAAAAAACTTACATTTTCATAAATGAAAATGAATAAAAAGAGCTTGATTCAAAATTTTACAAGAACAGAATAACTTAACGAACAATTGAATTTGCGTAATAATTAAACTAGAAAAATTACTGTTAGTCAAGAAATTAAATTTTAATTTTCTTTATGAAATCCTTATCCTAGTTACCGTCTCACTTTCCCAAATTAAGAAAAAGATGATAGCTTTGAGTAAATAATGACATAGGCCAAAACTGTAAAATTATTCTAATTTTGGAAAAGCGAAAATTGAAAATTTACGAAACGACTGTACAAAAATAACAAATTTTTATGACTTTATGTTACGATATCTCGAGAAATAAGGCTTAGATCTCCTACTCCTAATTAAAGTCTGTTTGCTTATGAAGTTTAAAATTTTCATCTCTAATTTTTTTGCATAAACATACATAAAACCTGCCCGATAGACTAAAATGCATATTTTTTCAAAATATTTTTAGAAATGTGCTCAAAAAGAAATTAGTCCTTTGTCTTCTTGAACATGCTTTTTCTTTCAAAGAGTTTATTTAAATAATACCGTATAATATATAATTTAGTTTAATTTTTTTTTTTGCTTCCTAAAAAATACTTTATGTAATTTAATTTTTACTTTTTCAAAAGAGAATCTAGAAACACATTATAAAGTTTAAATAAAAGGACTTTATAATTGCATTTAATTTTAATCTTTTAATGCATATTGCTGCTACCATTGTAAAAATTTTTCATTTAATTACCTCGCTACAGTAACGCAAAATGCAATTCTGCATGGTGTTCAAACCAAAGTTTGTTTTTGAAAACAAATTCTGTCTTTACTTTTCATAAACAACTTTCATTAAGGCTATTTTTTTTCCATAAAAATTTATTGGGTTTTACCCTGGCAGGGGATTACCCTGCCATACTTTTGCTATATATTAAATATTTAAAGCTATTCATATTTATTGCTCTTTTTTGTTCGTATTTAATATCAAATATTATGGAAGTATTTAGTTTTATATTAATTTTTTATTTTACGGTATTGTATATTAAACTATATAACATTGAATGTAGTTTTTAATATTGACCTGTCCGAGATTCGAACTCGAAACCCTTCATTTGAAGGACAATATCCATTGCATCACTGGTCTGTCAACATATAAATTTATATAATTTCAAACACAATTACAATGACGAAGCCGATGCATGAATATCGCTTGCCAATTTCCAATTTCCAGCCACCTATTACCAAAAACGTGATGTTTAATATACAAAACTATTTATCAACATTTATAAAAATTGGTTACACTCACTTTAATCAGCTTTAATCAACAAGCGATATATGCAGGTGCCCATAACTTAGCTCAAAAACGATTTTGGTGACGTGGAAGAGAATGTAACACCGTCAAAACGGGCCATTGCTAATAACCTTTATAACAACTTTCATACTAAAGTTAAAGCATTAAAAAAACGTTCCTTTTTTTATTTTTATTACACATAAGGCCAATTATAATATAATTTTTTGTACGAAGTTTTAATGCTAAAACCTTAATAATTTTTGAGATATATTCAAATAACTTTTGAAGTTGTATGTAAGATACCCGAACCGATGAAATCCAATTCATATAAGGTTCTATACTATTAATAAATCATTTATCTAGTAAGTGCTTGGTAAACTTCACTCTTTTGATTTTTGGGTTATCGCTGAAACGGAGGGACAGACATGACTAAGTCGACTTAGCGTTACAAACAGAGCGCAAATTTATTATACACTTTGAATACGGGTATAAATAAATGAGACATGATTCCATACGTTGTTATCCTCACAATGTTCAACTAAATAAATTGTAAGTCTTATAAATTAGCAGTCTTTTATTAGTAAAGTACACAGTAATATTTTTGCAACAATGTAACCTATTTTACGTATTATTTATTAAAGGAATATATGAACAAGGATTAAATTCTTTATCACTTATAAAGGACAAAGGTTTTAACATTGTTCTCGTTTATAGAAGTCGAATACATAATTTCAATACCTTCAAAAATAATAATTAATAATATTGAATAATAAATCTGCACTTAAAATTTGTTTAAACTTCATCAAAATCACATGAAAAATTTAAATTTTAAATTGTTCATTTCACATAAAATTATTTTATTAAAAAATTAATAAGAATTTAATATTATTCCTTTTCATTGAAATTCCCGATTTCGATACGGGTTACACAACTCAAATTTATATACAATGCTGATACCTATTCCAAATGAATTAATTCGATCCGCTTATTATATAATTTGACCTCCAGCATTTGGTATAAAACTTTAATATTTCATGATTTTCCTATACACAAGAACTATTATTTTTTCACCATTTATAATATATTCCCGAATGATGCGGTGTTTTATAATATTTTACAAATAAGCATAAGGACTTTTTTATCTATATTTAGCACATATGTATACCATATGATATAAAGATAATTTTCAATATGGAAAATTTGTGCTTATACAAGAACTTTCTATTTTACATGCAAATTTTATTATAAGCAAAACATGCAATTCTATTAAACTCTGAGGTGTAGACAATAACATCTATTAGAATCTACAAAAATAAAAGCCATAAATAACAAAAAAAAATTAAAGATGAAAACAAAATGGAGAATGAAATTTTTTTGTTTGGGGCAACAATCCTGTATTCGCCTTCATATTTTTATTAAACATCATCTGCGGGCTATGAAACAATATCGCTTTTGGTAACAATAGAAAAAATTTAATGCATTTTTTCATCATTCAAGTTCTAAGTTGTAAGAAACAGGAGTTAATTATTTTGAGATCAAAAATTTTCTGAAAGTTTTTTAAAAAAAATCACTTCATCATTACAATAAACTTTTCAATTTGTCAGTTACATAACTTAATGGGAAAGAAAAAATTTTTTACTCAAATTTCATGCTTTGCCGAACAATCACAAAAATTTTGTATAGAGTACTGACAAAAACCTCCTTAATTGATTAAATTCGAACCTTGTAAACTTAGTTTTGATTAAATTAAAATCTTTATTTCTTTTGTACGAAATTGGAAGCTGACAAAAATATGGACTGTGTCAGTATATACAGAAACATTTTTATACAAATTTCAAAAAAATCCTGTGACTAATCTCATGGATAAATCCACAAAAATGCCGAAATAATTTTCCTTATTTTTAATTACGTTATAATTTAATCCATAATATTGCAATTTGGTCTAATACAAAATTAAATAAA